CATTTGGATAGGCCTAAGTGAGTAGCACATAACATAATATGCACTGAAATTTAAAAAAATTAGTGGCAAAACGGGGAGGCACGTGTTGAACACCCCCAACCCTCTCCACTCCTACTGGATCTGCAGCTGTTGATCTGCCCAGCATCTGTCTCTTATACACATCTAGATGTGTATAAGAGACAGTATATATACTGAAGAGTAGATTTGCATGTATGCTCCAAGTGAAATAAAATGTAAAAACAATTAAAAAAAAAAGATTTACAATCATTGAAGCTTGACTTGCGGAACACAAATTTATTAAAACATTTATCGAACAATGTTGAAATTTACATTGTTGAGGTGTTTCTTTTGCGCATACTTCTTCTACTCCATTAAGAGTTATTTTTTTCTTACCTCTACTCTTTCTTCTTTGAGGTCGACTTTCATAGCTAATTCCTCCCGCATCATGACGTCAGGGTAGTGTGTTTTTTCAAATGTGACTTCGAGTTGTTCAAGCTGTTCTTCCGTGAATATCGTTCTATGCCGACGCTTCCGTTTGTGTGCCTTGCTCATCATCTCCAGTGACGGGTAACCGGCAAATGCGGGATATGCTAAAAGAGTATAAAATAGGCCTATAAAATATATCCCTCTAATTCATATAGGCCTGTGATATGCACCTACAATGATATTTATCGTTACTATTCTTCTTTCAAACGTATTCTAAGAAACGATTATCATTAAAGTATTCCTAACATTTTTATTGCTTTAGCAAACTGTGATTCGGTAGCACCTCAACGAGATCTGGGGCATATATCTAAAACACATATGGTATATATTTTCATAGCGTTTTTTTGTAGTTTAAATATACCCAACATCATAACGTCAAAGTAGATATGGGCACTTCATTTTTGTGTAAAATGTGTTTTCGCCCTTTTTTCTAAACGGATCCTTATCAAAGTATCGACATTTACTATATTATAAAAAAAAGTATTCATTATAAGTTATCAATAAGTTAATGTCTTATATGTGAAAATATGTATTAAATATGAACGAAATAACGAAGTATTTTTTAAAAGCTTAAAAAAAATAAGGTCGTATAAAGAGATAATTCAGCGTAATCAAAAATAATTTGAACTTACCCAGGTGGTATTCGGGAGATATCGATGATAAATGAGCTGGGTTTGCTACAGGCATGTAAGGGTTAGGCCTCGTGTGAAAAGCATATGGCCTGGGAGCTAAAATATTATCTATGGAAAAGGATGGTACCGTGAGAGCGCTCATAGGAGTTGGAAAACATCCGTGAGATAACGATGACAACCGGAAAGCAGTCGCTGTGCGTGGATCCATGTCTATCATTTATATTAGGTAACTTTTTTTTCTAAAAAAGTTTAACCAGCAGAACATTGGGGTATACTATATATTCCAGGTCCGCGTGCGTTATCACTCAAACACCTGCGAATAAACTGTGGGTTTGAAGCGATTCGTTACGGTGTTGTTCACTTAGTGTTCAAGCTGATTCGAATTGTTATCAAAGCGGGTTTTCGATTGGCCAATAACGTTTCAGTAAATAGTAAGCAATTTGTCTGATCGTCATCTAATGAAATTAAGCTGATCACAGACCATTATATAGAGAAAATAATCCCCTTTTAGCTTAGGCTAATTACAATACAAAATCGGACCAAGATGATTGTATCTTTTATCTGTGGAGTAGGCTAAATTGGCGAAATTGTTCCCAACCAAAAAAAAAAAAAGAATTGAAGCCGAGCCTGAGTGATCTCTTGAGTTTACGAAGGCAGGGACAGCTAAGAAAGGGTGACAACAAAAGAATCAAGAATCAAAGTGTTAGACAAACCAATTATTGAACAATTAGTACTAGATATAGGCCTATCTGCTGTGAATTTTACAAGGTACTATTTATTTATATATAAACAATAGATTCGAAAAGTTTAATCGATAATTTTAACTAACCAAATTTATGAATACAAAATATTGTTGATAGATAGGGTGAAATAATATCAAACTCTTCGTCTGCAGATAATAAATCAATGGAGACAATGCATTACCAACGCTGCCTACATACATTCACTGCAATGACAACGAGTTTAGTTTTCTTTATTTATAAAATATCGACTATACAAAGTAGAAACATATATATATATATAATATATATATATATATATATATATATATATAAATACAAAGATATAGTCTTAATTTATTCATTAATTTATGTATTTATATATATACACCAATCGCATATATATACATACATAAGGAGTCGTAGAAAAACTAATTATTGAACAAAGAGTACTAGGTATATACTACTGATATTCTTTGGAAACTTAAAAAAAAAAAGAGGAATATAAAATACTGTAAAAATACATGCCTAATAAATACAAACATGCTTAATTGTGTGTCTATAAATATAAGCATTCTATATAAAATTATATAAAACAATATTCGTTGTCTGTAATGATAAAAAAAAATTGGGGCCGAGCCTGAGTGAGCTTTTGAGTTTACGAAGGCAGGGACAGCTAAGAAAGGGTGACAACAAAAGAATCAAGAATCGAAGTGTTAGACAAACCAATTATTGAACAATTAGTACTAGATATAGGCCTATCTGCTGTAAATTTTACAAGGTACTTTTTATTTATATATAAACAATAGATTCGAATAGTTTAATCGATAATTTTAACTAACCAAATTTATGAATACAAAATATTGTTGATAGATAGGGTGAAATAATATCAAACTCTTCGTCTGCAGATAATAAATCAATGGAGACAATACATTACCAAAGCTGTCTACATACATTCACTGCAATGACAACGAGTTTAGTTTTCCTTATATATAAAATTCCGACTATACAAAGTAGAAATATATATATATATATATATATATATATA